CATGCCGGTACAGGCTGGGGCCAACTGTCTAGAAAGTAAGCTGTGCAAAGAGGCACCTGGGGGTCCTGGTGGACACCATGGGCCCTCACAGACATGTAGAGCACCCTGAGCTGCATTAGCAAAATACTAGACAGCAGGGAGGGGAGCAATAATTTCCCTCTCTTTCATGCTTTTGAGACCAGACCTGGAGCACTGTACCCAGTTTAGGGGTCCCTGATACAAGAGGGACACTGACACACTGGAGTGAGTCCAGCAGAGGACACCAAGCTGGTCAAAGGCTGGAGCACAGGACACACAAGGAGATGCTGAGGGACCTGGGTCCACTCAGCCTGAAGAAAGGTCAGCTTCGGGGTGAACATGCTGTCTGGTGACCCTGACTGCAATGATGGGCTCTGCAGCCTCTTCTCCCTCTTTCCCAGGGGTCTGGCTGCCTGCACTGAAGGTCAGCTCTGGTCATATCACACTATGAGGAGCCTCATCTGTTCTCCCCTCCCATCCACCTTCTGCCTGCTGGTTCAGGAGCTGCATTTAAGCTCACAACCTTGCCCTGAGCTGCACTGGAAGTCTGCCCGCACCTGCCTTGGGAACCTACTGATACTGATTTTGCCTCCCTGACTTTTCTTCCTGGTTTGCTCTTGAACCTGTCTTGTAACTATGTACTTGCCCTAAGAAGTCACCTTGACTTGGAAAGAGCCTGTTTGCCATCATCACCACAGCCCACATGATGCTGAGGGCAGTTTGCACAGGAAGATAGGCTGGGAGGTGTCTACCTTGTTGCCACCCTGGAGAAGTGGCTGTCTGACAGCATACCCTTGGAAACCCAGGTGATTCACTTGATTTTTTTGAATGCAGGCTTTTGCATTTAAAAATGCAAATGCACAAATCACCCAGAGGTAACAAATGCTGACCACTATTCAACTCTTAGGTTGACTCTAAGAGTTACTCCTGCAAATTGACTCTATCACTTCTGCAGATGCCTCACGGCACTGGTTCCTGGGACCAGCATGGAGGGATGTCCCTGTCCCAGGGCCCACCAACCCACAGGCTCCATTAGTTGGAAGACACCTTGCTGATACTTCAGCTACAGCTGCTATGAAATCACTTGTGTTCAACATACATGTTTTAAAGCTACTGTCTCTTGTCTTACCTTGTACCAAATTGCTCAGTAGTACATCTGAAGGCAAGGTCTTAGCACTGCCTATCTCCACACTAACTCCCACTGAGCCCATACAGCCAATGTCAGGTGAGGTAAGAATCGCTGTACGTTTAAATACACTTAAACATGAGCACCTTGGTATTTTCTACCTCCTGACAGTTGATGTAGCCGAGTTTTCCAGCAGATATATAATCAATAGGTGTCAAAAACATCCTGCCTTTTTGTTAACTTAGTCAGAAAAAAACCCTCCAAAACTTTGTAATTTGCCTTAGCAAAGATATAATTGGCTTGGTATATATCTTCACAAGGTCCTCCTTACGTGCACGTGGAGATGGCTGCAAGCCTCACAGCAGACATTCGCTGCAGACATCTGTCCATGTGGGCAACCGCCACATGAGAAGGCACAACGTAGTGTTATCCTCTGCAAGACACATGAAGTCTGCATGCTAATCACCACCAGAAAGGCCTCAGCCAAGGACTGTGTTTAATTCAGGTAGCTACAGCTCACCGAAGATGGGGACCAACTGGAGAATCTCAAAACTGCAGCAACAACCACGATCAGAAGTGAAGAAAATGTGGCCTGAAAAGACTGCAGAACTGGGATGGCTTAGACAAGAAAAAAAATGCTAAGGACAGGTATCTGTGTCTACAGCTACATAGCAGACAGGCAGGAAAGGGAAAGAAGTAAACAGGTTTGCCACGAGCTTGTGGACAGAGTAGAGCAGGAACACACACATAAATGCAAAAATACATGTAGTTTCCCATTTTCATCTTTCATTTTTGATCAGCAATGAATACAAAGCATTTAAGTATTGCTCTTTAGTATTTATCATATAATGAAAATGGCCTTTGCTGTACCTAGCTGAGGTCATGAACAAGACTTCCAAGATACTTGAGAATTTATCTAAAGTCCCAGCTCAGCTTTGCAAGACCCAAGGCTTGCAAAAACGAAGCTATTACAAAAGACACTGAAATTTGTGCAAGTTGCCTAAGTTTCACATCTCAGTCCTGTTTGCACTCTCCAGCATGGGGCTTAACGTCTATTGACAAGTAGAACAAGTAGAACTTCTGCAAAAAACTACTGGGGACTTTTGAAACCAAACGAATAAATAAAACCAGCAGGGTTTTGAAACATATTGTGCAGCTTGTTCCCTGTAACAGCCACAGCCACTGCTTTCCTTCTTTCGGTACTCTGTTGGATCTGCACTATCAGGCTTAAGGTCTTTTTGATTGCTTAAATGCTAAACTATCAAAATGAGCTTTGCTACACTGGTGTCTTAAGTTAATTTCTAAAATATGAACCATTATTGCAGAAAAGAAAAAAATTAACCGAGCAGTAGTTGAGAATCATGTATCATGAATGGTATAGTTTGCTGATGGGACTACATTACCTAAAAATTGCATAGGAAAAAGAAGAGAGCCAATTTAATCCCACATGCAACACCAAGAAGCTATGGGTGCTTCTAAAACAAGTCTGCAGTAGTAAAACATGTGAAGGATAATCCACTCAACATTTTTATTACAGTTGGGCTTGTGTGACCCTTTATGAAATGCAGGAAGAGTCTGAAAGCACATTCTTAATTTGTTTTATGCTGCCTTAATCATTGTTTTGTATCATCAGACAGGTCCTGTTTGAGCTCCTTGGGTCTCTCTCCTTTACGAAGAGGACTTGATTAAATGTGTGCCAAAACTCTCAACTACTGGCTTACCAGAAAGGAAGAGACTTGTTTTATTTTAAAAGAAGAGGTTAGAGGTTTTATTTTAAGGGAAGAGGTCATTCCTTGTATAAACACTTCCCAGCGGGGTTTACCCAACTTCCACCTTCTGACTCAGGAAGGGTCACAATGACACTGTTTCTCTAGCCGTCAAAAATGCTGCAAAGCTGGACAGGACACACCTAAGGACAACAAAAGCAAAAGTAAATCCATTAGAAATAACACAAGTCATTCTCCTACAGTTAAAAACCATCTAAATAAAAGCAGTTAAGCATAAAACAGTTAAATACTACTTAAAAATAGACAAAGTTTCGTTCATCTCTGCAGCACGATGTTAAAAAAAAGCATGCTAGTCATTGCTTTGCCTTTAATTGCAAACATTTCCAAGCCGCTCTGTCCCAGGCTTGGGATACTGCCTGTCCTCTCAGGAGCTTAACACGGGTATTCTTCAGATAAAGCTTTTGCGGATGAGCCAACACTCACTCCCACACTCAGAAATGACTCTCTGAATCCCTTTCATAATCTGCTTCTGAAAGATGCCAGGGTCTGCCTCCACAGCTATTATCTCAGTTCTTCCAGCAAACATTTTAGTTTATAAGTAAATTTCTGTCTTGATAAATCTCTCCCTCATGGAAACCAGATTTAACTGACCGTCTCTCTTCCCTCTCTTCCTGCTCTTTCTTTCAGGCTTTTCCCCTCCTGACAGACGATCAACAAGTGAAATAACTCCTTCAGTCATGTACATGTACATTCCCATTACCTTCAGACTATGCCCTTGCCTTCGGTGCGGTTGCACAGGCGTAATGGACTGAATTCAGCAGAGCTGCTGGGGAGGGAAGAAGCACCGGCGGCCCCGGCGCCGCCGTGCGGCAGGGCAACCCGCTGCCCACGGCGCTGGCTCACAGCGCTCCGCAGTGAGGTCAACACAAGAGACCAAGTTTCAAGGCAGAACCACACTCTGACAGGCTCTATCCCAGCCGAAAGCAGGACACCAGGACGTGTGAGACTCCTTGCATGCCTATGTGATTAAACAATAATTTCTGGATAAGGCTCCAGAAAACACGGGAGCTCTACCTGCCTGCCTGAATTACTGTGATGCAGAAGCAGCAAACTAGTCCATCCTTCACGATTCTACCCCAGCAACAAGGGAACACGGGCCATTTGGAGACTACTGGTTTGTGAATCATCTTCAGTGGTGTTTTGAATTTTCAGTATCTTTTTATGTCACTCCTGTACGAGCCGTATCTGTTTTATTTTCCTTCCTGCCAGAGGTACTTCCCCATGTTTCAACCTTTAAACTCACTCGTAATCATGAACACGAAGAACTCCATGCACGGGCTGCTGTGACTTTTTGCTGGTTCCCGACAGGAGGTATCAACAGTACAGGAAAAACTTACAGAACTGGATCTTTCAACACAATGACATGGGATGAACTCCCCGGCTTAAAATGTGAAAGAGCTGATGAAAGAGCGAAACAGCATTCCACCCTTACAAAATTTACCACGGGGGAGACACATGTCAGGATGGATTAGCAGTGATGGGGAGGTCTGCCATCCAGTGGCTTTTTTCCTTACTGCTGAACAACTACAGTGGCTTTGATCCACGCCGCCTGCTAATTTGGATTTGTGCCTTCACCTTTGTTGTCGCTGCACAGGAGGGGATAACAACGGGGATCTGGCATAGTCTCTGCATATCCAAATTCTCCGTGGCTGCAGCTCTGTGTCATGTTATTGTTGCTGGGTCTTTGCCTGCAAAAACTTTATTACATCCAAAAGCGCAGGTTCCCATTTTCCCATTGTCAGCATGTTACTGCTTTCAACAACTGAAGGGGGGGGCCGTTGTTTTCAGATGAGGCTCCTCCTAGTTCCAAATTGTTAGCAATGGGCTTTTAAATTAAATTAAAAGGTATTTCATTATTAAAATCGTAATTGTGTTCGTGCTGTAGAGCAAAAACCCTGTTGTGTTTGGGTGGACGCACAAGAAGTAGCTAGGCGTTCCTGTTTCCTGTAATACCAGTGGCGTGTGGGAAGTGCACTGAGTCAGCTGCTCTAAAACGCCACCAGCAGATAAAAAGCCCATTTGTCTCTAGGAAGTGCAGCGAGAAGGTGGGGAGACATCCTGCAGCAAACATGTCAGGTCTGTGATGTTTGTCTCATATTCTTGTAAATAATTCACTGTGCCAAAGTCTGTTTTCCATTAACTGCTGGGCTTGGGTTAACATTGTTCCTCTCAGTTGCTGTTTGCATGTTTCCCCTTCTGCAACGGCATGTTTAGGCAACAGATAAGTTGCGAGTCAAACAAACTGCAAGTCAGACAAATTGTAATGGATGTTATTGAAGGATGTTTCTCTGCGATTTTTCCTGTTGACAGTAGCTATGGAAAAGCAAGCTGGAGCCACCAAGTAGTGTAGGATTTCTTTTGACTCTCATATTTGGAATAGAAAACCCACCTTTTGGAGGTGCCTTTCTCCATTGGCTTCGCTGGCTGCCCAAGTCACAAGCTTAGGCTAGACACCTAAGTTTTAGGCAAGCTAAAATCGGGAAGACTAACTGTGCATAAGGCACCAGTTCACCTCATAAGCTACCCTCTGGCTTTAGACTAGCATGACTGAGAGGTAATCCTTCCCAGAGCATATGATACCATGACCGCATCTGCTAGCATAAATGCCTGTACCAATATCGAAATAATGCCATGGGTTTCAGCCATGGATCTGAAAACATTTTAACAGCACGCATCACACGCTGCGCTGGCCTGATGTTTGGTTGTAAATATTGCTCTTAGGCTGTTCGGAGCGTTATGGGAATATACTGAATGTTGACACGACTGGAGCTTCGGAGGCAACTGCGAAACCAGAAGGTCTGAGCTATGCAGGTAGGCACTAATTCAATTGTTCATCTCCCCTTTACATTCACACACAAGCTCATGCCTATTATGGATCCCAGTCTTTGGCTGTCAGTCATTGCCATGCAAGCAGGTTTTTCCACAACCAACAAAGATCCTAGGTGGGCACATAAGTTTACGTTGGGAATAGAGTTGCCTTTGAGATGTTCTAGGGAATATTCAAGAACGTCACACAGAAAATGCAAGGTCTGCTGGGTGCACCCTCCCTGCTATCGAGCCTGCTTTTCTCTCCCTTCAGAGGGTTTCCCTCATGACCCAAGTTTCTGAACATTTCCCCATAATAGTCCTAAATTAAAAGGAACTAAATCTGGGACTAATCCACCCAAAGGCTTAGATTTAAAACAAGAAGACCCACCTTTTAGTCTGCACACTAGAGAACTGTCCCACGTATTTGAAAAAATGTCTTTTATGTCATCTGTGTATTGATTTCTAGGGCACTTATCCTTCAGCAAAATTGGTCAATTCTATCATTGCTTCTCTCTAAATAGATTCAGAAGGATTAAAAATGTCAGCTCAGTCATAATGACCGTTAGAACAACTTGTTTCAGATTTTAAAAATGAAAGGAAAAGTCATTCTTGTTGTGTTGCAGGAGTTCCTGCCTCAGAGAAGATTGCAGAAAGAGATTTGAAGAACATGGAGAAATACCAAGCCAAGATTACAAAAGCCGGCAACAGCAAGTGTGTAGATCCAGCTGTGATTGCTGCTATTATCTCTCGAGAGTCACACGCTGGGACAGTGCTGAAGGATGGCTGGGGTGACCACGGAAATGCATTTGGTTTAATGCAGGTATGGTCAACCTTCTTAAAACCTCATCCTTCTTTTGAAGCAGAAAGTCAGATGCGCAGCAGAGGGCCCTGTTGAAACGCAACCCCCTAGACCTTTTCATCCAGCCCTTTGGCCAGAATAAAGCCGATGCTGACCCAGCTGTCAGCTCCGGGCACCAGGGAAGGACCCTGGTGAGTGTCAGGGCATGAGCAGACTGCGTTTGTACTATGAAATCGCTGCTTGCTTCCCAGTGCGCTCTTGGGAATTAAGAGATTAATTGCTCCTATTTCATACCTTAGATAATAAATCTTGTTTCAAAAAGCACTTTTTTTAAACTAAGCATGGAGGCTTGTAGGCTGCAGCTACATGCAGTCAGATTAATTACCCTTTATGCACCACAGGGGCCTGGCTAGTGGGGGATCTTACTTCATTATTCATGCCTACATTCACGCCTCACTTGTTTGCCAAGTTGTACGTTTATCCATACAATCCCTAAACATTTGCCGCACGCATTGGGATCCACTTTTGTAACAGCTCTAGCCCCCTCAGACTTGCGCTTTCCTAACCCATGGATAAGAGGCAGAGAAAGAGAAGGAGAAGGAGAAGGAGAAGGAGAAGGAGGAGGAGGAGGAGGAGGAGGAGGAGAAGGAGAAGAATTGCAGAACTAGGGTAGAGATCAAGGGGAGATCCCTAGAGGGATCAGGAGTTTGCCCACCCTTGATGCAGCTGGGGAGGAGAGAAGCAGTCACCTTGCAGCTGGAAAAGCTTAAGCAGCAGTAAGCCTGCTTTCTGCACCCTGTCACCTTTACGGCAGCAGCTGCGTTGTTTTTTTAAGGCTCTGACAGACAAGGAGGTGGGGCAGGCATTCCTCTTCAGTGCCCTGATATTCTGCTATTCACTCAACTGCCAGCTTCGCCTGCACCTTGAGCTAAGCCTGCTTCCTCTCTATACAATTACAGAAGAGGTAAACCGTGAGATTAAAGATCAAAATGAATACAAGCAGCCCGTAAGCAATGAAAAGCTCTGGATAAATAGTGGCGTTTCTGGTGTGCTGATATTGCTGTCTCACTTGCAGGTTGACAAACGTTACCATAAGATTGTTGGGTCATGGGACAGTGAAGAGCACTTAGCACAAGGCACAGAGATTTTATGCGGTATGATAAAGGAAATCCAGAAGAAATTCCCAACATGGACAAAGGAACAGCAGCTCAAAGGTAGAATTTTGTCAGCTTTAAAAATGCTTCACACATAAAAGTCAAGCACGATAACGCTGTAAAACCAAGCACTTCAGAAAATTAAACACATCCCAGTCCCCCTCTTCATTTTATTGAGGTGCGGAACAATATTCCTTGACACTCACTGAAAGGAATGGAGGAATGAGATGTGGTTAGCTTTCCAGCAGGCTTTTGGAAAACATGGCAAATGTCATGACATTTCTCAGTTGTAAGGAGTAAGGGTGGGTTTTTCTCTCTCCATTTAATTTTGTGTTTCTATACCACCTACAAAAAGCTACTATCCTGACAACTCCACAGAAGGAACACATTAATTTTGAAAATGTATGGTCCTCTCTGAAGGAAAACGGTTATATTCTTGAGCACTGATTACAGCTGAAGGCATCATGGTTGGGTCCCTTTATTTCAGCTACAATACAAAGATGTCTGAGGTTATTAATGCAGGTAGACAGGAAGGAATATACACAAAAAGAAGCAGTCATACAACTGAAGATGTTACGTTAGCAAAATCCAGCAAGGGGACAATGATCACCAAGTCTGGATGTAAAGGAGGAAATGATCATTTCTTCACAAAGTTAAACCACAAAAGGAACACCTCAGTGGCAAAAATAGCTGGAAATAGTAATACAATACTGGTAAAAAGAGTGCTGCAAACTAAAGCAACACATTTAAGTTGTTAGTTTTGTTTGTTTGATTATTTACTGACAAAATATCACCCGTTTATGTGTTTCTTGCACTCTCAATTCAGGTGGGATTTCAGCCTATAATGCAGGAACTAACAATGTCCAGAGCTACAACAGAATGGATATTGGCACAACACACAATGACTACGCCAATGATGTCGTTGCAAGAGCCAAGTTTTATAAAAGAAATGGATACTGAGGTATCTGAGTGATGATTAGATTTGAGTCACTGATTGCATACTTTGCTTCTAATTAAAAAAATCCTGGATTTCTCCTCCAGAAACAGTAAGAATGGAGGAGAGCAATGAAGCCAGAAACAAGTACAAGCTTTCAATGTTCTTTTTCAGCTAAGGCTACAAAAATCACTTTAAAAGATAACACTGCTAATAATCCAAACTGTAACCTATCTTTTGCCATTTATTTTTTATCTCACTTCAGGAGAATATTCAAGCAGAGTTTTCATCTGTGCTTGCAGTTCCTCAAGCAGCAGATTAATGGTGCAAGAAAGTCATAACACTGCTTAACAGGATTTTATCTGCCTTAGATTTTATCTGTCAATACATGTGTCTAACAGCAGTACAAAATTGGTTGTTAACAATTTGCAAGTTTTGAATTGAATATTTGCAATAAATATTATATATGTTTAATCCACCAGAAGAGTGTATCACAGTGTATTGCATCCTTTCAGAATAATTACTCTTAACTTTGGTGATGTGACCCCAAAGCAGCTGTTTCTTCTGACAGGAGGGAAAATACCACGCTGTCCTTAACTATTTTTTTTTTTTTGCCCTTGATACTACTTAATTTTAGCCTTTACAGTTGCAAATAACCTGTAAAACTCAAGCTGCTGTAATGAATACTTCTACTGAAGCTACATATTAGCTTCAATGCAGGGTTTGGCGTAAGAATATGCACATTCCATCATTTTAAAATGGCATGTTCATGCACAATAAACAGCCTTTTAATCAATCATATAGCAAAGCTTTTGGGGATCCTCAGCTTCAGAGTTGTTGGGTTCATTCAGCCACTTTAAGATACACAGTAGAAAAGTAAGTGGTTTAGAGTGGTTAAAAAGAACCTTCAAGCACATCACTAGGGGCTAAAGGAGAAATAACAAAGAGCACCGGGGGGTGTTGTTTGTTTGTTTTAAATATGTTTTTTATAGCTAGCATTTTGTACCTGTGATTAAAAATGTCCTGATGCTATTATTAGAATTCTATTGATCTCCTCATGCTACAGTATTAATTACCAAATCTGAAACAGTAAGTGATCCTGCAACAGAGCTATAGCACAGAAATAAAAGTTTACTCTTAAAACAGTATATTTCTACATTGCTACCACATATTGCACCAAAGATCTGTTTCAATATACTTTAAATGCTACCGCAGGTAGACATGGCAAATGGTTCCTACCCAAGAAGCAAGTTCAATGTGAGCCAGCTGTGTGCCCAAGCCGCCAAGGCAGCTAAGGTTACCCTGGGCTGTATGAATAGAAGCACAGCTTGACCGAGGGAAGGGATTACACACCTATGCTAAGCAGTTGTGAGACCACATCTACAGTAGTGTCCAGTTTTGGGCCCCCTGACACAAGAAAGAACAATTAATTTGGACAGGTTCAGGTGGACCTAACAGCAGCCCCACCATACCTACCTGTGAGGGATAATTGAGTAGATAGAGCCAGGCTGGCTCCTCACAGTACTGCAAGGTGGGAAAAGAAGTGACAACAGCCATAAGCTGATAGAAGAGAGGTTCAGACTGGATACAAGACTGTATTCTGCATATAACCCATTCCTCATGAAGACAGCCAGGCAGCAGAGCAGGCTGCCCACAAAGCCTGAGCTGTCCCTGCCCTCAGAGGTTTCCAAGACCCAACTGGAATGGAGCAACCTGGTCTGATCTCAGCGCTGGCTCTGCATTGAGCAGGTTGGACTAGAGACCTGCGAGGTACCTTCCAATCAGAATTTTGCTGTCATCTTAAGTCAGCCTGTTTGTTCCCTGCACAAAAAGGCAGTCTCTCTCACCTGTGCTTCATGAAGATTTACATGAAGCATTTATAATGCTCCATTAATGAAAGAATGTGGACATATACTGTGTTTGTGCACCCTGTTGGGTCAGGTTTTAGACCTGAGAGCAAATCTTTAGAGAACGTATGCTTATACAGAGAAGGTTTGGGATAGCAAATTGACTGTATGACAATTGTGACCCTGGACAAAATACCATTTCAGAAACACTTAAACTTACACATATATTAAAAATTTTAAGAAAATACAATTTCCTTTTTCATAAAAACTGCCAGCCTGTCAATTAAAGACAGCTGTAAACATCTCTTGCAGCTAAATCTTACACAGAAATAACAGGTACTATCTAAAGCGTTTTCCCTTTTCTGCACTTGGGAAGCAGTTATTAGCTATGCTCTAACTTAGGTAGTTTATCACACACTTTTTAAGCTGTGCACAGTACCAAGCAAGCTTGTTCATTAACACATTCTTTCCAGTTCACATTGAAGTACTTTTGAAGGTTGTAGCATCTGTACAGTGTGATGAACCCATATGCATTACACATACTGCGTATGACAGAACTAGCAGTGCTCCCTCTGTTGGAGATTCACCAGGCTGCAGTGCCATGCACACAAATCCTGAACGTGCTTGGTAAGGCTGAGCGATCCTGGGACACGAAGCCTCGTACAAGACTTATATTTGCTATCCCTCAGCAACAAAACCCATTTGCCTAATTTTCTGGGCCCTAGTACTTGTGCCATCTCTTTTAAGCATGCCCTGCACCTTGGATGTACTACACATGTCATTCAAAAGGGCTGAAATTTCAGCTTTACTAAGTGCCTTGCTGTGGGAACATGGTCAACACCACACAGAGACTGCCATTATAACACACTGCAGCACAAGACACTATGCAGATTCTGCAAGGAAGGAGGGAAGGAAGAAAAGCAACATTCATTTATCTGCTTTACTTTCTCCTTGCGATTCTATATATGTCAGACTGACACCAGTATTTTCTGTGTCCTTCCAACTACAGCCTGTATCTTGTTAGGAAATTGAGGTTTTTCAGCTCAATTTTGCGTTTCTGCCTTTGGCTTGGTCATAGGAGCCGTTACAGTCTTCAATGCCACTACAATAGCCTATCCTTTTTTTTTTTTTTTTCCTCCTGCACACAGTGCCTCCAGATTATGTCCCTCTACTGACAGGTCTACTCCTTTGAACTCCTGCTGGTGTTGACTCTTCTCTGCAAGCATGCGGAAAGGATAAACATCAATTTTCAGCGACTGTATCCGTCTGATGTTCTCACAACATACGGTCATTAAGATTAACTCCTCTACAGTGTGTCTAGCATGGGGGAGGCTCACCGTGTGTTAGACTGTGGAATTTATGCTCCCTGGAATGAAAACTACTTAATCATTTGATACAACAGCGGCTTCATAACTTTGGCCACAATACTTAAAACAGTAAATAAAAATATGTATGCAGTAATATTCTAGATTCTTCAGTAAAAGGTGTTATTTTTTAATGCAGCCCATAATTACTAACTTGCATCAAAGAGGTATGCTTCAGGGTCTTCAGAGTTCTAAAGTTTGCAATTTTAGAACAGGAAAAGCATCAACTTTCACATAGACTGCAGCTCTTAGACTACTATTATTAAACATTTAGGATCAAGAAATATGCATGAAGTAAGATATCATGTTTCCTGAAAGACAAATTATGCAACCTACCAAGACATGAATCACTCCTCCTGTTACTCCCAAATGGGGAGTTCAGGTACTTTTTAAGCTACAAAGGAGGCCACATGACAGACTGTTTGCTAAGGAACAAGCGTGAGACCTGGATGACCAAGTTAAGTCACCCAAACGACTACCTCAATCACATGACACTCTGGATGGACAGCCAGTCAATTCTCATGTAACGGGTAAACAGAGGGCTTTTCAATTCCATTTCCTTCCTTCGCATAGTAAATGTGAAGTCATGCACCATCATTGTAAACCTTTACTGTTAGCTGGGAAATGTCCTCACCATCATTATTTAGACCTATTCTACTCAGTTCCCTGCTTATCTGACTATTTATAAAGTTCTCTAATAACTAGCCATAAACTACAGTAATCTAGCCACAAAGTTAAAACATGAGGAAAGAAAGCCTATCATCCATTTAATGTTTCAGGCAAACATTACTGATACTGAATTTTATATTTGTACAGATGTAATCCTTCTTTAAGCATCAGTGTCAGTCCTGTCACTCAAACCAGACAGGGTAAGAATTAAGCTTAAATTTCATACACAAACTCTTAACTCAAGCGTTAAATTGTTTATTTTTATAAAGTACAAATCCAACCAGCACACCTTATGACTTAATTTCTTTCTGTTCCACAGGTTTCAGACGCCGTTTAATGACAAGCTCTCCATTGCTTGTAAGAAAGGTGTCCGACATTTCCTCTTCTGTTGGCAATCCATAAGGCAGTTTCAGTGGCTGTATTCTACAGGCAAAAGAGTTTGCTTAGTGAAGTCCTACAACTAGTAGAGAGTTACATTAAGTGTTTCAAATTGAACAAATAGTTAACAAACCTTATCAGATGTTTAACAACTTTCAGTTTGGAATTCACAGAAGGGATATTTTTGTGCAGTTTCGGCTGATGTGCCTATACAAAGAATAGGACAGGTTTTACAAACACATTGCCAAAACCCACATCTCTTTTCACTGAACTTTTCACACTATCAGTAAAAATAAAAGCCACATTTGCAAATATAAGATTTAGAGAAATGTCATGCATCAAGAGCATACATAAAAATATGAAATCAAAACTTGATCAAATTAGATTCCAGTAAAATGACAAATTCAGCTTTATTCCCATTCTTGCAGCTGTTAAAAACACTAAATGTAAATACAAGAATTTAGGGATAAGATTGCTTGCTTCAGTTAGATCTTAAATTGATCAAGCACACATTTTTTCTCTGTAATATAACAGTGACTAGATGAATCTTTGCACAACGTGCATCTGGTCTAAAAAATGTGGATAAACACATCTTTGACACAAACTCTTAGAGTCATGGATTTGGAAGCCTTTTCATCAATAAACAAGTCTTATTTGCCTACCTGCAATATCTGAATAATATGATCCACAGAGAAAATGGAATTAAAAGTATTTACAAAGCTATTTTTATTACTTTAGCAGAATTCTCAAGGTGAAGTTCTCCTCAGG